AGAAACACGATTCAAGAGACGGGGTGAGTAATTTTTGGGACTCACGTGGAGCACGTGGAGACGTCTAGACAGCCGGGGGATAATGTCTACAAGCCTACTCTGAAATGTGGGGGAAGGGTGGTGGTACTGACTCAAAATAAGCAATTTGTAGGCAAGTTTGCCGTAAGTCATTTATTTAAGTGATCCTGTGTATGCATCCAAAGAGCTATTTTTAATATAGGGCCCGAAGAGACCAAAAATAAATAAATTACTGAATCAAGATTTTAAATTCAAATAGTTTTGTTTGGTCGCTGGCCAGCAGAAACACCATGCAAAGTTTCGAGAGCATAGATAAATTCCTAAATGAGCGAGAATTTTTTTTTTAACGCGGTCAGACAAAAGTGAACAAGCTATAGCCTGGATTGACTCTGACATACAAGATCAAGTTGTCTGCCACCTGCAGATGAACACTATTGCTGAAAGCATAAAACATCATTTACACTTAATCACCAACTTGGAAAAGTTTTGTAGCATGACACCTGTCGTTCTTTCAACACCGGGGGGGTCGAAGATCTCACATTTTTACTCCTGGTGGACGCCAATGACAAAAAACATCGATATAAAACGAGAACTCCACACGGTCACGCTGTCCTTTCAGGCTTAAGATTCAATTGTCATTTTCATATCATGAGCCCATAAATGTACGCTTAAGGAATACTTTATTCCAGGAGTAGCAGTTTCATCAACTCAAAATATTGTCAATAAAGTACACACGTTGTTGTTTTTTTCTCAGACAAATAAATAAGGCACCTCAGGAGTATTGATCCTTCCGCCGTTGTCGGCAACCGCTGTGAGACCACAGAGCAAAAAGTTTCCATCTAGATCTACAGTATAACCCCTTTGACATGCAGGAATCAGAAATTCATTTGAAAGAAGTTTTTTGTTGTTGCTTTGTTGTTGTTGTTGTGTTGTTGTTGTTGTTGTTGTTGTTGTCGTTGTTGTTGTTGTTGGTGTTTTTGTTGTTGTTGTTGTTGTTGTTGTCGTTGTTGTTCTTGTTGGTGTTGTTATTGTTTATACTACTTGTGAAATTGCCACATCACTCGTTGATAATTTAATAGTTACTGAGCACGAAACACATTTTTTATGTATGTACAGTCTACAGATCAAATAAGGATTGTAATTACTATTATCATTTATTGTTATTATTATTATTATAATAATAATAATTATTATTATTATTATTATTATTATTATTATTATTATTATTATTATTATTAAAAGTATATACTTAATTCATTCAAGTCAGGTGTCATTTGTAAGCATTTTCATCTGTTTCACTCATGTATCCATATGATCACTCCATTTTTTACTTTCACTGCCCCAAAACCCACCACCTAACTCACGCACGTCTTTTATGTAGCGGCATCTGTGTTGTAGTAGTTCGATTCTTCGCCTCGAAATGACATAAATTCGATTCCCAGGTTTGGAGACACGCAGCGGAAAATTGCACAGGTTTTAAATCCTATTGTCAAAAAGTTTAAAATAGTTTTCCAAATCCTGTTGGAAAACTGCACAGGGATTTTCGGTATCGAGTATTTCTTAGGATGTGCATGTATTCGACACGGTACTGACTTGAGTATAAGATTAAGTAGTAGACTTCTTCCGTTAGCCAAGAGTTAAGACTGTCATTTTATTTCATAGTATATATTTTTTCGTCCTTTCTCTGTCATGAAAACCTCCATTTTAAGGGGGGTTTTTAGCGCAACTATGTAGCATCGGGCACACACGTCTAATTATACGAGGCAGCTAATATATTTACTATTTTCTCGTTCTTCTGAGACAAACTCACCAGGGTTATTTTCAATTAAACAGCGTACCCCCTCCGACACCCAATCTAGACAGTAGAGAGGTCTTGAACGGTTTTCAGTGAACACTAAATCAGCTAAATATGGTCGATGTCGGGATTCTGATTCGGCTGCAGCTACTTCATAATCGATACCACACTCAAAAAACTGCGCAATTTACCGTACTTAGGAAGAGACGCTTATTCAGTAGGTCGGCATAACAGATCAAACCTGCTCAATTTTCTGGCTCTCTTGAGGACCTGTCGTATCAAACAAACCGTCTTTGTATTGGTCTATATCGCACACGGCCCAGGTGTGCTCTATACCCCAACCCACCCCCTTTTTTTAACCCAGTGTGCCCAGATAACAGTGCTGCTGTAGTCCACCTGTAATCTGTGACAATTACGTAACTCAGGTATCTGAATCCCTCCCCCAAGTGTCGCTCTGAGACAAACACTGGCGGTCTTAGTTCTCCATTCAGTTGCATTATTTGGTCACGCTCAGAATATCAGATTTCCATTTATTGCCTAGGATTAGGAATGTAGAATACGTTACTCTTGGCTCGCCTCTATCTCTTAGTTCATTAATCTTCACGGTTGAGGAAGGAGATAACGAGTGGTTGGAGGGCGCCACAGGTAGGTCCTACTTCATTTACTTTTCCTCTTTTGCTTCTTTCTGTCAGTCTGTCTTACTTTTTTTGTCATCATTGAATGATCGAGTCATTGTGTCGATGTGCTTTTCCTTATTCAAACAAACGAAACAAAGCAAAATATCAGAGGCCCTTAAATTACGGGATAAAATGTGTCAAAAAAATGCGTGCATGTTGCTCTTTCTTTTTTTTTCTCTCGCTTCAATAGCCATTGCAGATTGGCAGGGGATGGTTGGCGGGTGCTCTGGTGTTGTTTACTCCTTGCCTATCAAAACTATTATTGTCCTTATCTCTCTTCCTTCTTCCCTTTGTATGTTACTCGTCAGTAACACCTTTAATGTTCGGCATATATATGACCTATTTGTATTGCCAGTGCCGTGAAACTCTTACTAAAACTAAAATCAGATTGACTTCACACAACAAAGGCTCGTTTTTCTGTTCTCTTTCTGTCAAACACTCAGTGTCCTTCTGAAAAACAACCTTCTTGTTGTTTCCAGTTTGCTGTTTTCTCTATTGCTTATGTCCAACATTTGCAGCCACATAAAAGTACTGACCAAAAAAAAATAATTCGTAATCCAATTCTTTGTCTTTGTTGTC